TCATGATCATCATTGTCATACTCATACTGTGCTCAGCCTGGAGTCCAATGTGCTAACTATTTGGTCTCCACATAACTCAGTGTTCTCCAGAGATTTTCAAAAACCAGGCAGAAAAAATAAATGCTGGCAAAGGTTAATATCTAATTCAGATCATGACAGATGTTTAACTAATTTGCCTAAATAAAGTGGCCAGCTCTTTTGGGATGAGTACCAATCCTGGTGCTTCTGGAGAATGCTGGTAGCCCACAAGAATGAATGATTGGGGAATCTGACATAAAAGGAAAAGACATTGGTCTGCTAACATACTTTATACTTTCCATGCGTCATTTGCCATCTTTTGAGGACCCTCAGGCAGAATTCTGGTAAAGTTTCCCAAGTCATTTCCACGGTAGTAATATTCTCCAAAAGGCCCATGTATGTTTTAGTCAGTTTTGTAAAATGTAAATATGGTGTCTAATGACTCCATTTAAGCTTGCCGACAGACAAAATGGTTTGCCAAATCCCCAAAAGTTCTATTCTTGATTTTCCTTATTTTACCACCTGTCGCTAACCCTTTACTTACTTGTCGGTGGTCTGTCGGTGGGGGGAGCTTTTTCTCACAATTACCATAGTCTTAGCTCAAATTCAATGGTCAAATGCAGGAATCCATTCACAACCATTAACCATAAATTCCCCGGTTTGCGGTTACGATTTTAACACGACCAAATTTTCTATTACTAAAGTTATAAAAGGCAAATGTGCGCGTATGGAAGTTAACTGTTTCACTTTTGATATAAACAAATAGTCTCTTAGCTTCTTAGCTAGCCTGTCAAAGCTTTGTCCAGCTTCTTGTGGATTATAGTCTCAATCAAAATGAACCATTTTTTACGGGGTTAGGACTGAAAAAACTGAAACACTTAAATCAATAGAAGTGCCCAGGAAAACATTCAGTTGAAATGCTCATGGCCTAGTTTGCATGCGCGAAAGAATTGCCGTGACTTGAGAACATTTACTCGTGGAATCAGCTGACTCTAAGTTCAATTCCGGTAAATTTGCCCCTAAAATGAGCTATTCAGTAAATTTTATCTCTTCTGGTGTTGTACTTACGCTGCTGGTCGACTCTCCTTCGTCGTAATAAGGCATGTTTTCGGTGGAAGAGCGAAAAATTACTTCCACTTCGAATAGCTGAAAAGCCAGGAAGATGATTTTGGCGGCACTTGAGGGAGGCTATTGATTAACACCTTGAACTGCACTATGGGATGGTAAGAAATTGTACCTTGTCACCAGTCTCTCACAACTTTCTCTCTCCAATCCTCGTGGGCAGAAACATGGCGACTTTCATTGCCAAGTCCCTGTAGTAGAATGTGTCTTTATTCGAGAACCATTGCCTTTGTTTATGTATTTTGGAACCAGTTGATTTGCAAATTTGATACTTAAATAGATAAGCGATATCATGGAACACATAAATTGTGCGTCGATCGTCAAAACACCGTCATAACTTTCGAAGCAAGGTTGACTGAAGTAGAAGTTTGCTTTGGGTTGTTGTCGAAAGAATAGTTTAATTTTGAAGTACACCTGGATCCACGATGCAAATCAAAAGCGTGGAAGCCTTAAAATCTTGGCTTACAACTCGTTTGGAGTCAGTGTAAGTATATATTCAGAGGAAAGCCGAACTGTATTTCGTAGACATACTAAATACTAACATTAACGACTCGTGCATGATGGCTCAAAATTGATAAAACTGTACGATAGATGCCTTCGATGGGAACCTGGTCTTTAAGTCATTTCAGAGTTGATTTGTCTCGCTGATGTTCAATTTCTATGAAGTATTGCTAACATTATTAGGCAATCTTTTGACGTTTATTAGAGATTAGACATAAGGTTTCTTTCTGTTGTCATCAATAACTTAATTAGTTTTGTAAATTCTCTGACCTCTAAGCGTGATTAGCATCCAATTTCTCCCTACAATACCACCCCTGAAACACACATTTTGTTCACAAGACTAAAGATGATCACCAACCAGAGAAGTTATTGATTGTTAAACATTTTCTCCTTCTCGGCACCCTTGGAAATGTATATAAACAGTTTTTTTTCAGTATGGAGATTATGCATACTGACAAGTGGGTTTTTACTAAAGGGTTAATGGTAAGTTATTGTGTAATTCAGAAAGCCTTACCTTGTTCAAAAATGAAAGATTACTAATGATTAGAAGATCAAAAACATATTTTTTTTCTGCTTTAACCTGATCTTAAGATTGACTTTTGGTAAGATTTCCATACAGCTCCTACTAATTCTGCATGCAGTTCTTGGATAAGGAAAGCAGTGGCCAAAACAGCAGATTGTCTAATGTACTATGGCTTTGTTTTAGCATAGTATGTGGTTATACAGAAATCTTTCCTAATTTTTTATGCCATTATCTTAGTAGTCTTATGGGACATCTAATAAATTGAAAATTTGACTTAATATTGAAAATGGGACAAAAGCATTCCTCGGTGATTTCTCAGGATGAATTAGCATGCTGTTAACCCTTTAACCCCCAGATCAAATTTGTTATTCTCCTTACTGTCAACCATACAGTTCTTATAATGTTAGTTCAGAGAATTTTGTATTGGATCAACTAATTATCACCAAATTTATATTTTTCTCTATTCTCATCACTAATCTAGATGATATTGTATTAATATTATAAGGAGAAATTCTGTCTTGGTCACTCGTGGGAGTTAAAGGGTTAAGTGATATAAATACAACCTTAATTTGTACCAGTTGGCAGAAATTTATTTGGTTTTATGACATAACCTTTGGTTTATTACAATTTCTCTCTTTATAAATGTTTCAGTTGTGATGCTGATCCAGCGGCTCTGGCCAAGTATGTTGTTGCTTTAGTGAAAAAAGACAAGCCTACAGAAGAACTCAAAGACATTTGTGTGGACCAGTTAGAAGTTTTCCTGTCTGGAGGTAAGATTCTCACTCAAGATTCTCTATGGAAAATGTTGATACTCCTAACAATTCGAATGGATAATTTTATACATTTTTTGCAGTACCAGTCAAATGAGACCACTTCTTTTTTCAGAAACTGGTACTTTTGTGAACACGCTGTTTGAAGCTCTTGCCACTTCCTCTTACATTCCTCAACCACTTGCTGAACCAAATCCTGCACCAATTGCTAGCTCTGCTCCTCTGCCAAAAGCTGTTCCTTCACAGTCAGCCCCTAATTCAACCACACCACAGGAAAAACCCAGGAAGTCATCAATATCAGAGGACTCACAAGTTCTAACAGAGGTAATTAAATGTCTCATGTGACCTTCGTGCTCAACCCTTTAACCCCCAAGATCTGATTGTTAATTCTCCCCTCCAGCTGCTATATATTTCCTTGTTAATTAGATACAAGAATTTGGTGTTAGGTCAAGATAACAACTTCTACCTGATAAGTTTGAGTATTCTTATTACTTAGTTACTGGATAATGTATGGACATTTATTATTATAAGGAGAAGTTACATGTTAATCACTTCTGGGAGTTTAAGGGTCAAAATTGTGATCAACATTGTGAATGTAATTGCTAGTGGATTTGTGTATAAGCTATTGAATATTTTAATAGCTGACTTAACCCTTTCATTCCCAGGAGTGACCAAGACAGAATTTCTCATTACAATTTCAATACAGTATCTAACAGACAAGTGATGAGAATAAAAACAATATTAATGGCAGATAGTAGGGAGTGAGAATTACTGATAAATCTTGGGAGTGCAAGGGTTAAGAAAGTTTGTTAAGGGTGATCGACAAAATCTTCATTTCAAGTCTAGATTTGACTGGGTAAAATACCTTATTTTTCAGTTTATACTTCTGTAATTAAATTTGGTGTTAGTTTTTTCATGTATTTGGTATCAACACTTGATTTTGGGATGGGTAGAATAAGGCCTGAAGGACTTTTGATGCCCAATCACATGCACAATCTCCTTGGGTATCAAAATGGAATAAAGTACAATCTTGGGAGGAAAATGTCAGTAGTAGTTCATCAGAAGTCACTTACTAGCCGAAGGTTTTTCCCCTTTGCATCTCTTCAATTCCAGCCTTCAGTATTAGATGATGATGACAGAGATTTTAAGAGAACAAGGAGAACCACAGATTCTAGTGACAAAATTACCAGCTCTGTGGTGTCCAGCAGTGGTGACAGATCTCGTAAGCGAAGGGGTGATGATGAAAGCAGATTCAGGGGTGACTACTCAAAGTTTGCAAAAGAGGAATCTGGTGGAATACGACATGGAGATTCTGAATCTCATGATGATCAGGGCTCCAGAAGTAAATCTGATGGTGCACATTATGACAATGCAACTTATCCTATTCCGAGTGCCATGCATCGTGAACGAAGTAACAAGCATTTGGATGGCCAGGATGGGTTAATGCAATCTGGCTTTATGAACTCTCATGATGATTCAAGAGGAAGGCGTGGCAGTCCCTCTTGGGATCGAAGAGGTGGTAGGATGGGGAGAGGACGATACAGAGATAACAGATTTAGAGATGACCGCTTGAGACATGGACGAGAAGAAAGAGAGAGAAGTGGTTCCAGAAAGTCTCGTTGTAGAGATTATGATGGTATGAATTCATTTTTTTTTTATTATTATTTTCTGGAAAAATTTGTGGCTTTCCTCTTTTACATTGTGGGAATGCTAAGGTATAAAGGTTAATGCACTTGACTCTTGGTCAAGACCTTGCCAGGTCATTGTGTTGTGTACCTGAGCAAGGCTCTTTAACCCCTAAGATTGACTAGCATCTAATTTCTCCTTACAACATCACCCTTGAATCAAACATTGAGGTCATGAGAATAGAGGAAATGATCACCAACTAAGGCAGCTCTTGATTATTAAACAAATTCTCCATGTCAGCACCTTGGGAAATGTATAGTGAATAGTGTGCAGAACATGGATACTGATATTAGGGAGTAAAGGGTTAACTCTTATGGTATCTTTTTCCCCTTTGAGTATAAACAGGTGCAATTTACTAGCAAACTGTTGGGAGAGTATGACAGAATAAACAAATATATGAAATAGGGGGTGTGATTTGATTTGAAACCAAATATTCATAACTAACATTATAAGAAATGTTTGGCAGAGAGTAAATTGAAGGAACTACTTTTGAGATCTTAGGATTGAAACTGTGAAAGGGTTTTGAGGTTGCCTTGGATCTGAAGTGTGGTCCTTTTTTTTTTCCTCATAGAAAAAGGATTTTGCATGCGCGGGGAACTCTGCCCTTTTGATCATGGAAATGATCCAGTTGTTGTCCAAGATGTCCTTCCCCCAGGTATTTTAGGCTTTCCAGATGGCCAACCCATCCCACCTGCAACATTACCAGGCACTGCTGGTCCAATACCAGGGAGCTACCCTGCCCCACACCCAGCCCCACATCCTGCTCCAAACTCACAACCCCCTCCTCCTGGCACCGCTGGTCCTCTACCAAATGATGTTCCCAAATCCAAAGCAAGCCAGGAAGGTCCTGACAGCACTGTACCTGTGAGTGGTCCAAGACCAACAGCCCCAAATAGAATGGTTCCTCCACACAGCCAAGCCCCAGTAATACCAATGCCAACAGTTCACATGATGCCAAACCCTATGTTAAGGCCACAGGCACCCCGTCCTCAATTTGGTAATCCATTTGAAGGTAGGCCCTAACAAACTCATTATGGTAATGAAATTATTTGATATTTACACCAAACTTTGCTTCTTCCTAATTTATCTTCCTAATCATGATAATAATAACAATGAGGAAAACAAATTTTGTCATATAGTAGTAATGATGATCAATTATAGTGGCATTATATAGCAGAAACAGTTGTAAAAATTATCAAATGATCATGAGAATCCAGATGGAAGTTGCTTTAGGCAAAAAGTAGTCAGCTTAAGTCATTGAATTAAATGAAAATATTAAGATGTGCATTTACCTCACTGTTCTCTTAATTTTGAACTCTAGATTCCTACAATCCAGAACAGCCTCAATTTGACAGGACACCAGTGTGGATGAGACTTGGCAATGGCCGTCCTCCTCACCCTATTCCCCCTCATGGAATGTTTCACCCTAACATGGGTGGTATGAGGTCAAGGGAGCTTTTAGCAGTAACTCCAAATCCACCTCAGCTCACTGTTCAAGGTAAAATTTTTTCAGTTTCATGAACTTTATAGTTGGCCTTTGGTCATTTTGATTGTCAGAGCCAAGGAGACTTATTAATATCCGGGGTTATTAGTTAGGGAAGGCAGGGAATGGGGGACTTTTTTTTTTTCTTTGGTTGAAAAATTTAAATTATCTGAAACCAAGAAAATGCAATATTTAAAGCAGAAACTGCCAGTAAAACAGGCTTTCAGATAAAGGTATATTTTGAACTAAAATGCCTTAGGTTCTGGCCTACTCATAGATTAAATATGTTTCCCATTGCAAAGGTATTTGCACAGCATATTCATAGCATGATCATCATGCTCCTGTATTTTTATTTTCAAATTTTTGTTTGGAGGAAGGGAAGGAGGAGGGCTTATTAGAAATATGAAGCTCTTAACAGAAGGCTTCGTAGAGAAGGGAGATTTCACAGAGCTTTTGATGTATTAGCCCTTAACACAGTAACATCAGTCTGCATATTCTCCATACTGTTTGGTATACATCTCCAAAGGTACTGACAATGAGAATTTGTTTAGCAATCTAGAGTTTCTTCTGTTGGTGATCATTTGCTTTATTCTTGTGACCTTAGTGTTTGATTCAGTGTGATATTGTGAGGAGAAGCTAGATACTAGTCATTCTTCATGGTCATACTGGGATTTCTAGTTTCTAATCAGCAGACATTGCTGAAAAGGAAGGTTAAGTTGTGTTTTAAACCTACTCTGCCTTCATCTTGGCCATGTAATGAGTTGAAAATTGAAGCAGCTGTTCAGATGAGGAATCTAAAGAAGGAGGCTTACTTTTTGATAAAATTTGTGGTTTATTCTCTTTGATAGTTTCCAACATGTCTGCCCCTGGACCAAGGATGCCCACCATACCTGACAGAATAGTGATCCACTCAGATAATGCCCCTAATCCATCTCAAGATCACCAGCCACCAGCTCTGAAGCAACCGTCTGCCGTGCCACAGCCAGGTGTGATTCAGGCTCCTGGCAAAAAAGATGAAACTGCTCCAGTCAAAAGTCGACTTGGCTTTCCCAGGAAATTTAGTGACACCCTGGAATTGAAGAAGATTCCTCGTGAATTGAACAACATTGCAAAGTTGAATGAGCATTTTCAACGATTTGGAACCATCAGGAACATTCAGGTGAACTTAAATACCCTTACACTCTTAGTTTCACGTCAGACAGGAACTTACTTGAGACTTAAGGCTTTGTAATGCTAATTGTGTCAAATGAGGATGGTTGCTTCACTGAGATTTGGCAAAAATTCACAGATTCTGAACAAAAGTTATCAAATGCTTCAAAATCTTAGGATTTCTTTTTTTTCCTAACTTGTGTGTTTTCAGGTTTGTGCCTTTGGAGATCCTGAAGCAGCACTCGTTCAGTTTTCTCATCACCAAGAATGTAAAGCAGCTTATTCTTGTCCTGATGCTGTCCTTGGCAACAGATTTATCAGGGTGTTTTGGCACAACCCTGACAGGAACCAGAATAATAAGGTACACCATGGCTACATGTTCTAATCTTTCAGATTATTGTACTTCCAAAGTTTTTCAATCAGGGAAATACTTATTGTTGATTGTGGGTGATGTCTAAATTGTGAATTTCAGGATGGAAATTCAAGCAAAGAAGCCACACCATCCAGTAACTCTGGATCGGCATCTGCAGATGGGGAACCAACTGCAAAGGAGGACTCTATTAAGGTTTGACTTGACAAAAGATTATCACTTGAATTTCAGAAGGCTCAGTCAAAACTGAACCTGATGGTCTGAGAAGGGTACAAATTTTTATTGATTGACACTTAACTCTTTAACTCCCAAGATTTTATTGGCAATTCTCCCTTTTACCTGCTTCACATTTCCTTGTAAATTAGTTACAAGAATTTGGCATTGAATCAAGATGACAACTTCTACCTGATTAGTTTAAGAATTCTTGTCACCTGTTTGCTGGATAATGTATGGGCATTATAGGGAGAAGTTACACATTAATCACTTCAGGGAATGAAAAGGTTAAGGGCTGGTATAATAGGAATCTTAAGGAATCTCTGGGAATCTTAAGGGTCTCTGCCAAAGGCAACAAAACACACTTTTTCTCACGGAGGCAGTCATCAGTAATAATTATAATTCAATTTTTTTCTGCAATTACAATATGCATTTGTTAAAGATTGTTTGACATATGACACATTACATGGGAATGTTAGGACAGTGGAAAACACTTTTGAATTGCAGTTGTGTAATTCTGTTGTCATAATATTTTATCTTGATGTTTTCACAGCCTGCCACTGAACCTAAGGCAAAACCCACCATGTTTCAAAGTGGGAAGACAACTTTCTCAAAGACTACAAAAGCTCCTCCTGCTCTTACACCTTCTGGTCCAGCTTTGAACAAAAGGCAACAGGTGCTTCAAAAACAGGTTAGAGGCATGTTACCTTCCTTTCTACAACAAATGGACAACATCCGTCTACAGAGCTTTTCAAGTAACAAGGCCACTCAGATAGTTTGTACACAGTTACAAGAAGAGAAATTTTATGCCTTGCTTTGCAGATCTTAACTCTTTAACTCCCACATAAAAGTTGCAATTCTCCTTTCTGTTAATCATACAATTCTTCTAATGTTAGTTTGGAGAATTTACATTTTTCTTATCTGGTTGATATTGTATATATATTGTAAGGAGAAATTCTGTCTTGGTTACTCATGAGAGTTTAAGGGTTAAGTATAAATTAACATACCATCCTGTTTCTGTCTTTTTTGTTTAAATGACAGGAAGCTATGAAAAAGAAGCTTGAAATTCAGAAACAAAAGCAAGAACTGCTTAACAAGCAAATTCAAGAACAAAAGGTATGAAGCTTAAAATATTAATTTTACTGCCTCGCTCAAACAATCACAGCATACTCAACAGTTACTCTCGGTTTCAAGGCTTTTCTGTGTTATGTTATTGTAAGAAAATAATCATTACTTCAGTTTCATATAGTTGTTAAATCTCCTAATCTCCACTGATAACACACTGTGTTTGCTCTCTTTCCAGCTTTTAATCTCCAAGCTGGAGAAGAAAAACTTGAGTGCTGCAGAGAAAGAGTTGATAATGAAGGTTAGAGACTCCCTGCTCAAGGATGGATTTTCATGAAGTCCTTTTATCACATTTAATTTGTACCTTTTCATCACTTTTGTTTGAAGAACTTGTAAAGTTAATATTTATATCTGTTTTTTTTTTTTTTGTTTTTTTTTGTTTTTTTTTTTTAAACAGACCATCAAATCTCTAAGTTCAAACATTGAAACATTGAAGAAAGAAGTGGAGTTAACAGCAATGGCAGCCAAATCAAAAGAGAGTCCTTCACAGGCAAGACAAATTGTAAGTAGACACTCTGAGTTGGTTTTATCAAGGACCCTTTTTTGTAGTAACAGTCAAGTCCAGCAGAATTTGTCACATAAACACACAGTCTTATAATGAACATGTTATGGGATGATTTTTATTCATCTCTCATCAGCTGTTCTTTTTAATGATAATGTAAAATGAACATCTTAACCCTTTAACTCCCAAGATCTCATTAGTAATTCTTTTTACTGTCTGACATACAATTCTTACGATGTCAGTTTGGAGAATTTGGTATTGGATCAACTAATAATCCCCTAATTGATAGTTTACTTTATTCTCATCGCTTCTATGCTTGATATTGTGTTGATATTGTAAGGAGAAATTCTCTCCTGGTCACTCATGGGAGTTAAAGGGTTAAAGAGTTTCCAAGGCTGATATTTTGAGTGTTAGTCCTCTGTCTACTCACTCTGACAAAGGACTGATGCCAGAAACATCAGCTTTAAAAGCTCTCTTAGGTGACCAATTTACATTATCAACTCATTTGATAAAACTGGACTATCTTGGAGTACTCCTGCCTTACACAGCACCACAGAAATTTGCCCCCTTCTTAATGGTAGTCTATCATGGTCCTGAACTCGTATCCATTCCAATTACATATTTCAGTCTCAATACCAATGAATTGGATCATTAAATCATAAGTACAAACTATCAAAATATTGTACAGTTAGTAATCAAGAACTTGTTCTTATTTCAGGCTCAAAAAGCAATTCTTGACCAAGAATTAGATCTCATTACCCATCAAAACACAGGAGAAGACACCACAGAACTGAAGAAAAAAGTTGAAGAACTAAAACAAGAGGTACTATACCTATTAGACGGTCAATGTGGGAAAATGTACTTAACCCTTTAACTCCAAAGATCTGATTGCTAATTGTCCCTTTAGCTGCCCCACATTTCCTCTTAAATTAGTGAGGAGAATTTGGTATTAGAGATAGTTAACAACTTCTACCTGATAAGTTTGAGAATTCTCCTCACATATTTAGATCACATAGATTAAATCCAATTTTGTAATTCATGTTTTCAATATTATTCAATTTATATGTTTATTATTTTTATTTAAAATTGTTATTTTAGGTACATGCAATTCAGCCCTCCAGCTGCAAGTTGCACTTTTTTCAATAAACATATCTATCTATCTATCTGTCTGTCTGTCTATCTATCTATCTATCTTTCTATCTAACTATCTATCTATCTATCAATCTATCTCTGTTCGTGGTATAATGTTTGGATATCATAGGGGGAAGTCAAGAGGTTTATCACTTCTGGGAGTTAAAAGGTTAAGCACTCAGTAAGTCTGCTGGTGTTTCAATAAAAGCAGGTTACTGGTGGTTACTGCTGCCTTTAAGACCTCTTACAGCCATCTGTTAAGCCTACAAGCTGCTTCTGTCTTTGGGTTTTTAAAATTATTTAAACCCTTGAGTCTATGAAAAATACCTGAGTGTGATTGATCCTTGTCTATAAAACACATTTACATGAAGAACATTATTTCATAATTTTGAATATCAAATTGAAAGCCAAAGAATATCAAACTACTTCATTATATAAAATCATCTTTCTTTCACTTTTTCCTTTTTTTCAGGCCAAATCTCTTGGATTGTTAGACCCACCTAATAAAGGGCGTGGCAGAGGCGTAGTTAGAGGTAGAGGCAGAGGAACAGCTGTTAGAGGCAGGCCTCTTTCAAAAACAACACGGGTGTGGACAAGAGAGAGTGCCACCCTAGATCACAGACCCAAACAGATTGTTGTGAATGAAGTCACACCAGAACAGAAAGAGGACATCTCAGAACACTACAGTGTAAGTTTTTTGAAACAAAGTGTTCAATAACTTGGTAGCTGTATGTTTCCTAACATTGTTTTTAACATCAGTCCAACCCTATATATATTTTTTTGTGACAGGAATTTGGAATTGTTGACAATGAAGAATATATTGAGGACAAGAATACACTTCACCTGACTTTTCGCACAAGAAAAGAAGCAGAAATCGTAAGAATAAATATTTCTTTCTTCATGAAGCTGTCATAGTGTGTGCTCTTTTTCGCAGTTTGACCATGGATAAGCAGTAGCTGGAGCAAAAATTATTTAAAGAAAAAGGAATAATTGAACTGTGTTGATGGTAATGCAGGAGAGTATCTCAAGAACTTTTCAACAAGCAAATTCCTGTCCTTCAAATTACCTGTAAACTGTTTCACTTCATGGCAGTGTACTTACTTCTGTTTTGTTGTGTTAGGCTTACAACAAAGGGAAAATGTTCAAAGGAAGAGCTCTGAAAGTTTCATGGTTTCGTGCCTCAGTCCCTCCTCCTTCTCCATCTACAGCTGTTCCAACCACTCCCACCACACCCACCACCCCTACCACTCCAACAACACTGAGGAAAGTTGAGGAAGAGCTAGGACTTTTTGATGCAGAATTTGTAAGTTGATGATGGCTTGGTTGAAGCACTTTGAGACTTTGAGCATTTTGCTCTAAATTCCTGTTAGTTACCAGTCGTGATGGCCCATTTCTTGAAATACCTGGCAACTTGACAGGCCCAAAAAGCTGATTCTTGTGTCTTTTGTTTCATTTAATCTCCAAAATTGTCTGTTTAACCCCTTTACACTCTATCATCAATGTGCATATTCTTCCCACTGTTTTTTTGTATATTTCCAATGGTACTGACAAGATGAATTTTTTGATAATCAGGAGCTTCTTTAATTGGTAATCATTTCCTTTATTCTCATGACCTTTGCATTTGATTGAGGCAGATACTGTGAGGAGAATTTAGAATCCAGTCACTGTTATCAGTTTTTAGTACATTTCTTTTGTTACTGACAAGGATTCTTTTGATAATGATCAAAGCTTCTTAGGATATCGATCATTTCCTTTGTTCTTTTGACGTTAATGTGTGCTTGAGGGGTGATATCTTGAGGATAAATTAGATTCTAGCCACTCTAAGGGGTCAAAGGGTGAACAGTTGTGTTCCCTTTTCAGGGAAAACATGAATTTGATCCTGAGACAGATGAAGCCCTCCTTTTGGGGGAAGACTTTGATGAGGAAGAAGAAGAAGAAGATGAGCGGTCATGGAAAAGATAGTTACAGCATGACTTTGAATGGAAAAATAGGACTATTATATGTTGTAACTTAACATTTTGTGATATGGATAGGAAAGCCACTCTGCTATCTTCCAGAGTAACAGTTTATTTATGTGAGCATGCCACATAATTCTGTAACCAAATTGAGGTACTACTCAAATTTTAGATGAAATGTAGTTATCTTATGTTGTTATTGCTATTTTAATTTTATTTCATGTTGTTATGAACCATTGTACAGTGAAAAAGTCATTAACTTTAGAAGAGTGAAATGATTCTTTAAAAAAAGAAAAATGGTGAAAAAAGACAATGAAAAGAACTTCTACAAAGAGAAAAGAACAAAAAACAGTTGCTTGACTTCAAGCTTCTAGAAGAAAATTATTTCCCTCGTGGAAAAAAAAGTGAATGAGACAAAAAAAAATGTTTTGCACTTCTGACAAAAAAAAAGTAAAAAAAAAAAAAAAAAAAATTCTCTCAAAAGTCAATAATCAATGTGATGGTATGGACACTGGTGGTCAAAGATTTGTGATGAAAATCCTGGAAAATGCTTGACATTACAAGGAGGAAGAATGGAATGGAAAACAGTTTCTTATGGACTGAAGAGGAACTGTCTTAAAGATCTTACATCATTTGCAGGCAAGGATATGCACGGTCAGTGTTTGTAATTTTTCTCCCTTAAATCACGGTTCTCAATATTATTCACTTGAAGACGGTAAGTCTAGATGACAACCCTTATAACCTAACGTCAGTAGGCATACTCTTAGGCAGGTTGTCATACAATTGTGTGCACCCCAGTTTGTGAAGGGTTACTCAAGGTTTCACGTACTGTCTGTATGAATAAGCAAGTACATGTGATTTTCCACCAAGATCTCATTAGCAATTCCCCTTCCTGCCTGCTGTACATTCCTTGTAATGTTAATTCTAAGAATTTGGTGTTGGATCAACCTTTAATCCCCTAATTGATAACTTTCTTTATTTTCATCCTTGTCTGCTTGATATCATATTAATATTGCAAGGAGGAACTATGTGTTAATCACTCATGAGGGAGAAAAGTCAAGTATCATATTATATAGAGCACTGCGGAAGAATTAAACAATCGGAAAACGGAAAACGGAAAACAAAAACTTTTATTTCACCACTTTCAAAGATGTTAAATTGCCTGATATGTTGTACTGCAGTTTACAATATCTCTTGTAGCGAATGTTTTAACTTATTTTGGTAAAGAAGAAGGAAAGGTTTATTTTATATCTAGCACAGCAATGCCCTAGGAGAGTGAAATCCTTCAGTGATGGGACTCCTGACTTCACTTTATCAAGAAACTGGAGGAGAAAAAAGAGGCACATACATCTTAGTCAACAATTGAGTATCACACAACAGCATGTGCATTGGAAGGAACAACTCAAAATAATATAGGTATGTTTAGATTAGAGTCTGCAAAAATAGTTATAAGGCTTTAGATTCTTCTGTATTAGTGAGGTATATTTTGAACAAGAAATACAGGTCTTCTTTTCTTGTGTTAACATAGTCTCTAAGAGAATTCTTAAAAGTTAACAGTCCAGGGGCTCCTTTCTTAAGGATCTCAGTAACTTAACAGGCCTGTAAAGCTGCTCTGTTCTCATCAAGATGGGGGTTTCAAAAGTTTTGAAAATTATTCAATTAAACCATCAGAGTGGGCTGGTTAGGGTGCCAGAACCAGATTATTTATTCTTTAAATTTTGATTTCAAAATAAGGCTTTGGGCCTATTAATTTACAGTGATTTTTTGAGAAACAGCCACAGAATTCTCCCCCCACCCAACCCCCCCCCCTTCCTTTGTATTAAGAGGAGGTTAAGTAAAATGGAAAGAGTTCTCCACTGCTGAGATACTATTTCCTGTGACAGAGAGCTGCCTTTTCCAACTCAAGTTTTTAGATTTGATGTGGTGGTTAATTTACTTCTAAATTCATGAAGAGACATGCATCAAGTATTGCTAATGCAATGCAATTTCACACTATTGAATCTAAAACCACTGGTTGCACTTGACAGCAATTTCCAAAGAACATGGTTGAAACTGCGCGATTTCTTGGATTGATTACCTGTAAGGATATCCATGGTACTTGGAACGAAACACAGACAGCAGCAAGCTGAAGAACAACACCACAAGACCCAAACCAACCATAACTACAACTGAGAAAGAAGATCCAACATTAGTTCAATATGTTTACAATGTGGACATGTATGGAGAACTTCAAAATTGAAGCACTACAAGAACCACTCTGGTCTGTTCCAGGCATTTAGTTGGTAAAATGGAGCTAAAATTTAACAGTCCCATAGTAGTGGTGGAGTGAAACATCCAAAGGTTTAGACCTGGGCAAGTAAAACATGCTCTTTAAGCAACCCAACCCTAAACTCCCTTGGTTCTCACTTGTCCAAACTCGTGCTTTGTTTTACAAACTGAATGCCTAGAACAAGCTAGAACCACTCAGAATAATCAATATTTCTTCATCTCCTTCAAAGACACTGTCAGCTATCAATTCCAAGCAATACCCACTGACATATATATCAATTCTCGGTGAACAAACAATAGTTATTTTACCAATGTTCCTCCTCACATTTTCTCTCTGTTTCAGGCAACAGATTAACAGTGTATGAAAAGATTTTACTGGGACTTAAACTTCAAAAGCAAAGGCAGTTAGAACACTTACTTCTACGTTTTCCAATCTCTTTGACTTCAAATGCCTTCTCATTGAGAAGAATCATTCCAACAACATACAAGGCATCTTTGAAAATGGGTCAAGGATTAGGCCAAGATATAGCAAAACTTTTTAAATAGTATTTTAAATATGAAGTACATTCCTTTTTTTTTAACTCACAGTGAATATCAATTAGACTGATGACTCCAATAAGTATTCAAATAAAATAAAACAGCCATACTTCTCTAATTAAATTAATTAAAACCCTTCTTCAGCCACACTAGAATTACCATATTAGCATCATAGTTGCAATCCCAGTTCTGGTGTTTCCTCTTGTTATACCACATTATGGTAAAGACTCCAAGAAAGAGGAGAACAAAAGTAGCTATTTTAAACCCTAATTATGTCAGGATTTACAAATGTTCCTCTATAGACATGGTATTGGTTATTTCCAGGAACTACACATTATTCAGGTATTCATTCATTTGCTAAATGTTCAAAAGGTTTCCTTTGAAGGTCTGAAGTTTTACAGCTGATTTAAAACCTTTTCTCACTTGTTGTTTATTTAAAAAAATACATATATTTATTGCTACAAAAGGATACTCAGAAAAATGACAATGTGAGTTTCAGCAACAAACTGTGCTTGACTGCTGCCATGTATGTAGCTCTAAATAAAAAAACATTATGTTTATATTCTCATTTAGTACCATCTAGGAGAAGTGAAATAAACTTTCGTATGTTTAAATCTCAAACAATGAGTGTATATCAAGATGCGTGACTACTTTACCATCCATCACTTGCAACTTACCACTTGTCCTGTTTGTGGATTCTTGTGGGCATAAGGAGGTCCTCGGATGTGATTCCACATCTGACCAGAAGTCATGACAAATACTACACACTGTTTAAGGACAAAAAATTTTTTTGATTTTTTAAAAAATATTTCAAATCTCACTAAGTTTAAGCACAATTGCAAGCAATTAAGTTTAGGTTTCTTTTAAGATTCTCAAATGACAGCAGTGTCATAATTTGATAAGATAAAAATTGCATGGTTTGTGGAGTACATTTAGATGTTTTCACGTGAAAATAAAAGAACAAAATGTTTACCAGAGCTCCAATTGCCCAGTACGTCTTGTTGTAGAGGAACTCCAAGTTTTTGCGTCGCACATAGAGTAGTCCTCCAATCAGAACTACTAGCAAACCCATTATCACAGCACCCATGTAATTGGGTGGACGGAATACCCTGATCTGCAAAAAACACCAAACAACAATAAATGTTTATTTGATAAGTAATAACACAAAAAGAAGGTTAACAGGTTTTACCACTTATCTAGTTTTGAATCAACTAATTTAAATGCACACCATAAAAATACTACGACAACAAAAAGTTGTAGCACAGAAGCAACATGATTACAAAAACTTGTTGTTCAACATGGATAGTTAAGACAAGTTTACGGAAACCACACATACATTAACATCTGTTCGTTCTGCAACCCATCTGGCCAACTGTTCTGCAGAGAAGCCCATTCTACCATGAAAACAACAAATGTTTAAGTGAACAATCAAAAGTAAGTAAAAGGGTCACTAATAAAATGAAGGAGAAGAACTAACATAATGTATCCTGTCCATTACAATCAGTCCCTCAAAAATTTAAAGGGGTTAAGTTTCTAAAGAAGCTGTGGTGCTGTGTCAGTGGGAGAGTATAGCAGGGTTATTTACTACTATTAACTAAGTTGATAATGTAAATAGGCCACCATAAAGAGTTTAAAAGCTGGCACTTCCAGCATTAGTCCTTCATCAGAGCAATTGATGCTAAATGTAATCAGTTAGCATTGTGATGTAGATATTTTACCTTTGAATATCATAAGTGTCTGCCTTTTTGGGTTTTCCCTTTGGTGGAAAGTGCATGAACATTGGTGCAGAATTCAATCGCAACTATAAACAAGAAAAACAGTGAGTTGTGTCAAGACACAAAAAGGCTCCAAAGTTTTACTGCAACAGGGTGGGTACCATTTGAAGTAAAAACTTAAAAAAAATTACTTAAATGACTAGTCTTACCGCACTAAATACATCTGGACCTTCGTCAAAATCAACAACTGCAAAAAACACTTTGTTGGAATACTGCTGTGAGTAACGCCAAGAGTTGGCAAGGATTGTAAACTCGTTATTAGCTTCTCTGTTGGATGAAAAAAGAAAAACACAGTTTAGAACTACAGTAACAAGATTTAAACCTGTGTCATTAACACTTTTCATACCCTAACATCAGCATGCATATTCCCTACACTGTTTTCTAAACATTTTCATCAATACTAACAAGGGGAAACTTGCTCACCCCTTTCCCACAATTTTCTACTCCAATATTTTTGTAGTAGTCAGTTCTCCTTGCTGTCTCTCATCCATCTCATTAATTTAACCCTTTAACCCCCAGATCCAATATGTAATTCTCCTTACTGTCTGTCATATGATTCTTATAATGTTAGTTTAGAGAATTTAGTACAGGGTCAACTAATTAGCCCCAAATTGATATTTTTCTTCATTCTCAACACTTATCTGGTTGATGTTGTATTGATATTGTAAGGAGAAATTCTGTCTTGGTCACTCACGAGAGTTAAAGGGTTAAGCTGAGAATTTGGTTTCAAATCAAACAATGTCTCCTTAATGATACTCAGGCATCCTTATAATCTTTCTGCATGTTACTGCATTGAAATTACTTACAAGTTACTCCTTGGAATTAAAGGGTTAAAAATCTGAATCAACAGCTTCTTTAGACACTGTTCAAATTGGTTATTCTCATCACCCGATATCCCCTTGACGATTCTCATGCATTCTTGTCACCTTTCTGCATGTCACTGTATTGAAATTACTTATTAGTTACTCCTTGGAATCAAAGTGTTAACAATATGAATCAACAGCTTCTTTAAACACTGTTGAAATTGGTTATTCTCATGACCTTAATCCCTTAACTCCCATGAGTGACCAAGACAGAATTTCTCCTTACAATATCAATACCACATCAACCAGATTACAAAGTGATGAGAATAAAGAAAAATATCAATTTGGGGATAATTAGTTGATCCAACGCTAAATTCTCTGAGCTAACATTGTAAGAATTGTATGGTTGAAAGAAAGGAGAATTACAAATTTGATCTGGGAGTTAAAGGGTTAACCCTATATTCAATGTTGATAATGTAATAAGAAATTACCTACCTACAAATGGTACATTGTCTGTGTGGTGCAAGAGCTGTAAGCATAAGGATGACAGAGTAATTCCTTGGTGATGCTCGTAAGTACGTTCTGTATTTGTCTCCATTTAATCTAATGACTGGCTTCCTTTGGTTCCAGTCCATAAGCTGTTTGACTCTAGTTTCCAACAGAGACTGAAAATTTAACAGAACAGTAATTCTCAGAACTAAGTTCATCATTGAGTTCTCCTGTCTGTTTAGGCACATGAGGCCTCGACCAAAGAACAACTTTGATCTGTCAGCTACCATTCCCATCAAGAGTAGGCTTTTCATATAAATGTTTGGTTTCTCATTGACTTTTGTTCCAAGGAGGGTTTGTTGGTTAGGAAAAAAGAAAAACTTGGAGAGACCAAATAATTTACTGAGGTACTTTTCCAAGAACTGGGTCAGTCAGACATTGAGAGACTTATAATTTTGAGGGGTTAGCCTTAATACCAGTATGTACCAACTTACATGTACTGGCTAACTTGTTGGTCATTATAAGGAACCATTCACCTCCAAGAAGAATGTGAAAAAGATAGTTTTGGCAAAAGATTTCAGTTTAAAAGCAACCTTTGTTCCAGAAAACAAGTGACTGTTAATCAGTTAGGTATATTTTAAATAATTAAATTCAACTTGGAAACTATGAGAGCAAATTGACAAATTTGAAGGGCTAATTAAAAAATTGCACATCAAAAAAAAGGAAAATTTGCAAAGACGCCAATTCATTTTTCTTTTTCCTAGCTCGTTCTCTTGGTTATAAGTAGATAAACCGTTCCTGGGTTCAAAACAAATTGGAACAAAGCAGTTTTAACTCAAAGAGTGACTATGATTATCACGAGGGAAAAAAGCTTCAATTTACAGGGTTACACAGCTGAAATATGGAAAAAATAATTTCCCGAAACGCTGAAAAGTAAAATTATTCAATAGCCTTTTGTCAGGGGCTCAATGCGGCATCTGTCAACGAAAGCAGGTTATTGACAGGAAGGCCGCAAATTCGGTCTACCGAATCTAGCATCTGTGTTAAGCGTTTTCGAAATATTTGATAAGTTGGGTGATCTTTCTTAGCTTTTGTTCATTTTAAAAAGTTTCTTACCTCTTTTGAGACTTTCTTCTTGCCATAACAGTCTGAAAGG